AAAATCACTCTACGGAGTCCCTATTTCCTTTTTTTTTAATTTTATTTATAGTAATTTTTTTATTAATATTTAATTTAAAATAATAAATATATCTAAATATTTATTTAAAAATGTTGAAATTAATATTTTTTTATCTATAAGTAGCTTTTACAATTATAATTTTTTATTACTTTTAAATAATTTTAAGTAATTTTTTACTTATAAGTAACTTTTTACATTCTAGATAGTGAAACATTTTTATTAATATTCAATTTAAAAAATTAAATATATCTAAATATTTTTACTTAAAAATTTTAAGTTAACATTTTTTTACTTATAAGTAGATTTTGCAATTATAAGAGAATGAGGGATTAATATTTTTTTACCTATGAGTAGCTTTTACAATTATAAGTTTTTTTATTACTTTTAAATAACTTGAAATGCTTTTTTTTTTTTTTATTTATAAACAACTTTTTAATTTCTAGATAGTGTAATATTTTTTTAAAAGCTACTTATAGGTAAAAAAATATTAATCTCTCATTTTCTTATAATTGTAAAAGCTACTTATAAGTAAAAAATATTAATTTAAAATTTTTTTAAGTATAAATATTTAGATACATTTAATTTTTAAATTAAATATTATTAAAAAAATTACACTATCTAAAATGTAAAAAGTTATTTATAAGTAAAAAAATCACTTCAAATTATTTAAAACTAATAGAAAAAATTTATAATTGTAAAAGCTACTTATAGATAAAAAAAAAATTAGTTTCAACATTTTTAAGTAAATATTTAGATATATTTAATTTTTTAAAATTAAATATTAATAAAAAATACAATTTAAAAAGAAAAAAAATATATAGGGACTCCACTCCATGCACGGAGTGAGTTTTCACTTCATGCATGGAGTCCATTTTCTTTTTAAATTTTATTTATAGTAATTTTTTTATTATGGTTCTCTTTATTTTTTATTGTACTCAATTTTTTTTCAATTATTTTTTTCTCTCTGTGAAAGGAGATTTTTTTTCTATTTAAAATTTTTTCAATATTATTTTTTTATATTTAAATTTTTTTCTATTGGTGAAAGTAGAAATTATTGTTTTTCTATATAAAGCTTGATTGTTCATTTTTCTCACATGTGTTTTCACATTCAACTGGTTTGAAATGAGTTTGGTCAAAATGGTTTGATTTTTTTGTTATATTATAAAAAAATATAAAGTAATATACCATCTATCACTCTTTCAAGTCACTCATTCTCCCTCCTTCAATTCAATCGATTTTGTCCAAAGGTCCAGTTTTCATGTTAGAAAAAAAACTCTCCAAATTCTTATTCTTTCTGTGGGGAAAAAAAATATCGCGCAGTCCTCGTCTCAATTGTAGAGAAGAAAATCATAGAATTTGTGACGATTATTTTTGAGTACGTTCTTGCAATTTATTTATTTATTTATTTTTTGTATTTCCATTTTTTAGTTTAAGGTATGTAGTTTTTATCTTTGTATAAATCTAACTTGGCTCATCTTCTTCTACCTAGATGTGAGGTATATTCTTGTCTCTGTATACGTGAAAATCTAATTGGAGTTTTATTTTTTTCTTGGATATGGCTATAAAGTTTATGTTTTTGTTGGTTGTTTGTTTTCTTGTGGATTTATTTCTTATTTTCTTCGGCTTTATTTAACATAATATATGTTTTTTTTTTTTTTAGTGTGTAAAAGTTAATTAGGCCTTTCTTTATTTACTCTTATCTACTTGAGAAGTTAAAATTTTTCGATCATTGTTTTTATATTTAATGAGACTTACAAGAGTTTGCTTTGGATATATTTGGAGTCCTTCTGGTCCAATTAGTAGTGTTTACAGTTACGCAGTTGTTTGCATTTGTAAGGAGGATTGTTGATTTGTTTAGTAGTTTAAAGACATATGTATAACCTATTTGTAGTTCCTTTTAAGGAGAGAAAATATGCTCAGTCTATAAAGATAAAAGAATTAAAAAGAAAAAGAAATTTATAATATGAACAAGACAAATTTAAAAAAAAAAAATTATGTAATTAAATAAAAAAATAAAACAAATTAAAGTTACAAAAATGAAACAAAGAATATATTAATATTATTTAATTAAAATTGAAAAAATTTTTTTTATCATAAAGAGAAAAAAATTTTAAAAAAAATAAAAAAATTATAATATGAACAAAACAAATTTAAATAAAAAATAAAGAAAAAATTCTCTTCGTGAACGAAGAGAATCTTCATCCACGGAGAGATTGTCTCTCCTTTCAAAAGGAGATTTAATCATTTTATTCGTGAGGAGCTGGATGAGAAGAAACTCTCACATCCGGTTCTGTATATCATAAAATTGGACTAGATATTAGTATAAGTAAGCGGGGAGCAAATAATTCTATATAAATTTTATTTTATTTATTTATTTAATTTTTAAAATTTTCTGTTTATATTACAGATAAATTCATTTCTATTTAAAATTTTTTAAATTCTTTTTTCATTGAACTTAATTTTTTAAATTACTGATTTTCTCTCCTTCAAAGAACAAATTTTTTCCATTACAAATTTTCTTAATTTAAATTTGTTCAATGTAAAATTATTTCAAATTTTCTACTAGTGGAATTACTGATTAATTTATTTTTTAAATTTTTTTGTTCATATTATAGATAATTTTTTTTAAAATTCTTTTCTCTTTATAATTGAACTTAATTTTTTCAATTACTGCTTTTCTTTACTTCAAAAGATAAATTTTTTTCTATTCAAAATTTTTTCAATATAAATTTGTTCGATTTAAAATTATTTCAATTATTTCTATTGGTGAAAAATTACCTTTTTTTTTTTTTGCACAAAAGCTATACTGTTCATTTTTGTCATTACTATATTAAATTATTCAATTTCAAAATTAATATAACAAATAACTTATTTCAAATGATTATTTTTATAACTAATTGATTCGTTTTTTCTCTGGACACTAAACTCACTTCAACTTTAAAGATGCTAATATGACTTTCAAACTAATCCTTCACGTGCGTAGACTAGCATTATAGGAAAAAAGAAAAGAACTCCTCCGCCTCCAGGGCACATCTCCAAGTGATAAAAGGGAAGGGTGGAGAAATTCAGCTTTGGTTGAGGTTGTCGCGTCAAGGGTTCGAATCCTGAAACATAGATTTGGCTCTTGGTTAAGTACACCATCACGATACTTCAGGGCAGGGGCGGTGGGGAAGTTAAGATTAGGGGTTTAAAAAGAACTCCTCCACTTCGTCTCACTGGTTCTCTCGACTCACTCAGATAAAAAATTCGGGGTGCAGAAAATGAAAATCCCACAAAATTTTCCCAAAAAAAGGCAATGTTGAGAGCATCATCTCATCATCTTCAGCCCATTTCATTCTCGCCTCCAGCGCCTCTCTTTGCTCTACTCCACACTTTCACCAATCGCACGAACGTTACGTTTGCAATACTGGAAAAATCCCAAGACTCCATTGCTCCCACAATCGGCAAATATAACATCCCTTAATTGTTCTCGTTGTTATTTTCTGGGCTCAATTTCAGGCGGGTATCGTACATGTTTGAGTGCAAGTAAGGTCAACTTGCACTCAAAAGTCCACAGGTCAATTACACTATCTGGATTCTGAAGCTAAATGCATTTTCCTGTTATTTTTGTTCAAGATTCGTTTTTCTTTTGTCGCTAGATGCTTTTACATTTACGCGTGTTTTTATAATTTCATTATCTTGTGCTGTTCTGTTAATTGTATTCCTTTGTTTGAGTTGATAAATGTGTTAGTTTTCATTGCTGAAAAGGAATAATTGCGTTCTAGTTTCTTGATTATTGATGGCTGTTATCATTATTTTTCTCTGATCAGGTGCTTTTATGCTATCTCTTAGAAAGCTATTTTCAAGTCAATTTCATTCAATATACCAAACGTTACTCAAATAATCCTTTTAGCCATTATAATACCAAAAAATAAAAATAAAAAAAATGAAGAAACTTGGCGGAATAAAATAAGAGATTGTATTTTCTGATAATATGTCAAATAAATTCAATCTACTGATGAAATATAAATTCATTGATTTTGAAAAAAAAATTCTGATTGCAAAATAACTTTATACTGAATGATAAATATTTGAAAGAAAATAAAATTCTTGATCCAATGGCATGGTCTCTGTCGACAGTTTCAATCTCCAATTCTAATCCATCAAGTATCTGTAAAAATAATGTAGAATAAGGAATGAGCATATGAATATACTCAATATTATAAAAAGTAAAATATGCACATAAAAATAATTTTTTAGTAGGATAGAAACGTGACCGTCTCACTCCCCCCTTACGTCATACCCATTCCCAGTTTCCACTTAGGTATTTAGTCCTATGGCTGATTTTCTGTGTAGATGTACCTAATAATACCCTAGGGTATTACTAACAAGATCTTTCTTTAATTTGGATCACATAATAACACATAAAATACTTATCTTAAAACATTAAAAAGCGAAAACACAAAATCACTTGCCATTTAGAAAAACCCATACCTAATTAGTTAAATTATCTACATACTTGGAAATTCTTGTGAACCAATCTCTAACGTGCCCGAAAACCTTTTCTTTTCCTTTCTTTTTCGTTCCCCTCTCTCCCTCTGTTCTTTTTCTCTATGAATTTGCTGTGAATTGAAGTACACAACAAAAGGGTATTTATAGGCGTGATATGATAATGACCTACCTAGAATTTTAATAGGACTCTTAATTGTAATTTAATAAGAAAACTTGACAAACAACCTTATCAAAGAAAATTCTAACCACATGAGGATAAGATTCTAGTATAAATATGTTAAAATTCTAAATTTATCTAAACACATTTATATCAAATAATCCGATAATAATTCAATAGATATCCAAATATTAAATTGTAATTTCGTTAAAACTAATATTTTCAATCGTTAAGATTATTGGCATAAAGTTCTTATAAAATGTTAAAGTTCCTAAGTTACTCTAAAATCTCAAAACTTGCATTTATGCCTCATTATTTATTGTACATATTTTTGGGGTATTATATATTGCTTTGTCATCAATAATAATTGTCGACCATTATGTGAATTTCATCCACAAGACAACACCAAGGGTTGTGCTTGGTTGCGTGAAATTGTGGCCTTGAATTGAGATTTGAAATCACTGTTCATCTTGAAATATATTGCCATGAATTCTGTGTTAAAGAACACCTCTTTCTGTGTTTGATCACATCAAGTTATAGCATAAGTTTGAGATTTGAAAGGAACCCATTCAGATTCTGATGAAGTGCATAAGGGATTAGAGTTTATGATGAAATGGGATCGTCGCAAGGCAAAATAATGTTTTTTTTTATTTCATGATAACTTCGGGTTGGTTCAATTCCAAGACTGTCACTGAGGTGCGGAGTTTTCATAGCCTTGCTTCCTTCTATCGTAGGTTCATACCACATTTCAGTAGCATCATGGCACCAATTACAGATTGCATGAAGGATGGCAAGTTCCAGTAGACTCACGAGGCAGAGTCGTCTTTCCAATTGATTAAGCAGAAGTTGACTACTGCTCCAGTTTTGGTGTTGCCTGACTTTACCCAACCATTTGAGCTACATTGTGATGCTTCGAAAGTGGGTATTGGTGGTGTGCTGAGTCAGAACAACCGCGCTGTTGCATATTTCAGCGAGAAGCTTTCTAGCCCGAAGTTTTGGTATAGTACGTATGATGTGGAGTTCTATGCAATAGTCCAGGCCGTTCGACATTGGCGTCACTATTTGTTCCATAAGGAGTTCATTTTGTATATGGATCATGACGCCCTTAGACACCTTGGTACTCAGGATAAGGGGTCTGCTCGTCATGTCTCTTGGATTGCTTACTTATAGCAGTTTACCTTTGTGATCAAGTACAAAGTAGGTGCCCTTAACAAAATTGCAGATGCATTGAGTAGGCGCCAAACTCTCCTTACAGAAATGCGAGTGGAGGTTCCAGGTTTTGACAGTTTGTGTGACTTATATGCTACTGACCCATACTTTTCCCATGTTATTCAGAAGTTGCAGGAGGGTGTGCAGTCGGAGTTTGCATGGGTTGATGGTTTTCTTTTTCATGGTAATCAGTTGTGTATTCCAGAGGACAGTTTGAGGTTGAAGATCATTCAAGAGTTGCATAATGAGGGCCATGTGGGTCTTGACCGAACATTGCAGCTTGTTGCTGCTTCTTACTTTTGGCCATCATTGCGCAAAGATGTCGGCAAGTTTGTGGAGCGTTGTCGGGTTTGCCACTTAGCCAAGGGCAAGGCAACAAATGCGAGCCTGTATATGCCCCTGCCTATTCCAACCCAGCCTTGGACAGACGTGAGCATGGATTTCGTTTTGGGACTCCCCAGGACTCAATGTGGGTTTGATTCGATTTTCAAAGATGGTACATTTCATCCCCTGCAACAAAACTACAGACGCTGTCAATGTGGCCTTACTGTATTTTTGTGAGGTTTATCGCCTGCATGGACTACCTACATCTATTGTATCTGATCGGGATACTCGTTTCCTCAGCCACTTCTGACGTAGCTTATGGCGCTCGGTGAATACACGGTTGGACTTCAGCAGTGCATATCACCCTCAAATAGATGGTCAAACAGAGGTTCTTAACCGTTCTTTGGGTGATTTATTACGTTGTTTGGTTGGTGATCACATCAAGTTGTGGGATCAGAAGTTGTGTCAAGCAGAATTTGCTCACAATCATGCTGTTAACCGAAGTACAGGTTTTAGTCCGTTCCAGGTGGTGTATGGGCTTGTTCCTCGTGGTCCTCTTGATCTGGTTCTAGTTTCTACTTCTGTTAAAATGCATGGTAAGGCCGAAGACTTTATTCAGCAATTGCAGCAGGTTCACTCACAGGCTTATGATCAGTTGCAAGCTGCTGTCACTGAGCATAAGCGTGCTGCGGATTTTAAACGCCGACATGTTGAATTTGAGGTAGGTGACTTTGTTTGGGCGGTGTTAACAAAGGATCGTGTTCCTGCTCATGAATACAATAAGCTTACTGCGAAGAAGATTGATCCATTGGAGGTCATTGAGAAGATCAATCCGAATGCCTACCGTTTGAAGCTGCCCAGTCATATTTGTACATCTGACGTGTTCAATATCAAGCATTTGGTGCCATTTCGTGGTGATAATTCTGATGATGATGAAGCTCCTTTCCCGTCAAATTCGAGGGCGAATTTTTCCCACCTTGGAAAGAATGATGAAGTGCATAAGGGATTAGAGTTTATGATGAAATGAGACCGTCGCAAGACAAAATAATGTTTTTTTGATTTCATAATAACTTCGGGTTGGTTCGTCTTTGGCGAATTGTTATTCTAATTCGATCGGAATCGAGTCAATGAATAAAACTTAGCGCCTTTGGTCCCGACGCAAGGCCAATTTTGGGCAAAATCCATCGTTTAGGCCCTCATTTAGGCGTTTTTGCTATTTATGGTAATTTTTGTTTTTGCAATATATTTTTCCATAAAATTCGAATTTATATTCCGTTTGTTGGAGGATGATCCCGAAGATAAGGATTTTTTTATCTTAGTAGTTATCTCATATTGTTCTATTTTTGGAAAAATATCCTTTTATTCTATTTTTCGAATTTCGCTAGTTTTTTTTTTTTTTTTTAAGGCGTTGTAAGCCCTTTGAGGCGACAATTGTTGAATTCAATAAAATTTTCTTTGAGAGTTTTCTCATTTTGTGATTGTTCATCTTCCTTATAATCTTCTGCTACGTCATATTCGAATTGATTTTTCTATGTATTTCAATTTTAAGATCTTG